CCAAAATTGATAGCTCGAGGACCGTGAAAGTTAGGAAGTCTAAATGTCAGAATAATACTTCTGCCTGTGTATAAATTTAGACCCTGTGCAAGCCTAATTTCCAGGCATGGGTACGAGAAAGTTTTGGCGTCAAAATTAATGATTCGGAAATCAGGAGCTGAAATTAAGAGGATGTTCCTTGTTTAAATATGATGATACTAAGACTTCAAATTCAATTCTTAAGTATGTTTGGCTGTTACATATGGGATGCGAAAATTTTATGCAACTTCGTTATCCTTCTCATATCTGGCTCCTTGACCAAATTGCACTTTCAACGATCGACTGGTGATAGCCAATTTTTCATTCTTTTTCATGCAAAATTTACAGTAATCATGCGTGCTGGAGGTTAAGATTACATGCGGCCTCCTGATGCAATATTACCATCCCAAGCGACGCTCCTTTTCTTCTATATGTAGGAAAAAAATTTTTTTGACAGCTCTGTTAAGATGAGTTCACATTTTAAGAAGTAAAGCAACAAAAATTTATCCTGTCAACGGTGCATTGTTACTTAAGTTGCATTTGCATACATGCAAAGACGCGTAAAAACGGATCTTTGCATTGGCTGTTGGTGCGGCTACAACTAGGTTAACTGCTGTTACAGTGCAAAACGAAATGTATGGAAAAAAATGTTGGGAAAATTTAAAAAAAAAGGAAAAGAAATGTTAGAGCAATTGAGTATACTGAAATATATAGGGTTTTCAATTCACGCATTCGCTTGGAGGCGGCACCGGTTCCGGAATGGGTACACTGCTGATTTCAAAGATTCGTGAAGAATATCCGGATCGAATCATGACTACCTTTTCGGTCGTTCCGTCGCCTAAGGTACATATTTCTCACATTTAACGAAAGTTACTGCTGTCTAGGCCTCAACTGAAGGGCAAGCCTTGGCGAAAATAAAGGATTTTATTCATGTTTACATGATCTAATTAAAGTAACAATACTCATGCAAACTGAAAGTTCGAACTCCAAAAACATGCATTAAGTACGAGTCATTTCACGGATGAAGACTGACGGAGGGAATTGATCCACTTTTTTTCGCATCATGACACGACTTATTAGACCGCTGCACCACCGAATCTAATCCTTCAGGCACCTGCTGGAGCACATATATTCTGTATGTATGGTACCTTCATACATGGTC